CTCCACTGCAGGAATGCTGAGCTAGAGTATAGCAATGGTGTCTTAAAAAGACCGCATACACGGTCAAGTGAAGTAGCATGTGCTGGTTTCATATCATTACTGTTGTATTAAGGCCTTGAACCACCCGCTTAAGCAACAATGGAAAGCAAGCCTTTCTCTTTGGTTATGAATAAGTGGGACTGATACGTTTTTCAGCTTACATAGATTGGCATGACTAGTAGAGCTAACTAAGAACAGAACACAAGTTGAAAAACCTTACATAGATTTGCACTTGTTGGTAAAAATTGTGCGAATTAGACATGGAGACCGGAAACTCCCCAAAAAAGAAAAAGCCGAAACCTCATCCCCGTCTCTCTTTAGAGAACTCAAATCCAAATGGCACCGGCTTTTCTGAGCAAGGGGGCAAGCTGATTCTTGACTTGGAGAGACATCACCTGGTTGGCACCGCCAACGAGCTGCTGAGCTATGAACACAGCTGGAACAGTCGGCTTGCACCCTAACTGTGAGGACAAAGCCTTTTCGATCTCCTGACCGTTAGACATTTGATCAAGCTCGTAGACCGTCACATTTGCCCCGTATCCTGATATGAGCGACTGGATGGAGTGGCTCATGCAGCAAGAGCTCCGGCTGAATACCACCACTGGTTTTTCTGCTACTAAACCTCTGATGCTCTCCATCTCTGTCTGTATATATGTCTTAAAAGGGAATGCAGGAGACAGAGCAGAAGGACTTGAGAGTATCTGTATGTTTTGGTTTCGATAAGATATGAAGCTATTTATAGAGTTAGATGATGTTGCATATATGGAATCTTTTCCTGGTAAGTTAATGTCCCTCCCCAGTAATCTGCCCTTTGGCGCTCTCTAAACTATGGAATTCAGATTCTGATGAATGCAGAGGTTCTTGCCTAGCATGCAGAATCAACCAAGTTGCATCTCTCCATATATGTCATTCGCTTCTGTAATCTCGAGTCGCCGACCTCTTTCTGCAAATATCTACACCATATCGTACGATTTGATTCCCTTCTTTTCCCCATATCTCTTGCTTTTAGTACACCCGTTTTCGGTGGGAACTGAAACAGGGTTTGTCCTCTCTTTCCAAGTGACAAAAGATTCCAAACGGAGAAACAATGAAACGGAAAGCAGAAAGAGCTTCTGTAACGTTACCTGTTCTTTACGTTCTGGGTTAAGACAGAATCTCGATCAGAGATCGTGGTCATCTTGCACTTTAACTATTGTGAGATTCCCATTAATCTCCATCTTCGGATCGTAATAAATGATAAAAAGCCATAGTAGGGATGATCAGGCAGCGGCTCACAGTGGAAGGGAGAAAAAGATGCAGAATTCATCAGAAGCATAAAGGTATCATCTTTTTGTACCATAAATGGAAACTGAGCATTTGTGGGTTTTATCCTGCGAGGATAAGGAATAGATCTTGGGTTTCGTGATGGCGTCGTATTTATCGCCATGGTCGAATTTGGAAAAAGCTCATTGGTGAGCGAGAAAGCATATATTCCAGATTTGTGTTCAGGTGGTATCGGTAATGCCATGTACACTTGGGATTGCGAGTGATAAAGTTGGCGATGCTCTTCATTCATAGTATTCCTCTCTTCCAGTGCGCTCAGATTGAACGATAATTGGCTCTAGAACTGTCCAAAGGTCAGGTTTTTTTTTCCTTCAGGTGGTTTCCAAGGAGAGAGAGAGAGAGACGATGACATCATTTTGGGCCGGAAAAGGCCCATGAAAGAACCCATCGAAAACACCTTCTGGGTCGGCCCAGGTTCGTCCCTGTCAGAAGATTAGGATGTCTTAATCATAGAGGCGTTTTTTTCCTTCTTTTTTTTAAAAAAAATTTTGATCGATGAATACTATGTTTTAATATCTACGCTACATCTTAGTATATACACTATAGATTTAATACCTGAATTTATTTCTATGTATTTTGGTATCTTAATTTTAATTCAATACACATTTTACTACCCTTTTTTGGTTTTTGAAATCTAACTAAAATTTTCTAAATGCATATGAAAACTTGTTCATGAAAATGGTATACAAGTATAATATAACATCATATTATAAAACAAAATGAAATGTTAAAACGTGTATCCAAATCGAAATTAATGTTCTAAAAAAGATTTATTTTTATATCATCTCGTCATCTTTCCATGCCATTTTTATGTTATAGTGTGTCAAGACCAATATAATTTATTTGATACCTTTATCAATAGATATTGATAAAAATATGATATTAAATTATATTTCGAAGAAAGTTGATGTAATAAATTGTGTAGAAAAAGGTGTTGTTAAATGTGTAGTTAAAATAGTTAAGATATGAAAATGTATTATTCTCTTTTAATTTATAAATTATGTTTAACTAAATTTCGCTTTTCTAGAACATTCGTCCTAATCAGATAAGCATGTATTCCCCTTTACTTCTTTCGGTAGATTTATTATCTTCCAAAAAACAGATTCGTACATGTAAATATTCAATATTGTATATATTATAAGTTACCATCAATATATTATAATAAAGACAAATTATCCAAAATATCCTCGTCTTGCTAAAACTATTTTTATGCATATACATCTTCAAATGTGACCATGTGACTAGAATGACAGTATGAACACACAGTAGCTATATTGGTCATAACGTTAAATTTACATTGACCACATCAAATCACCATGATCACAACTTGTATATCACACTAATCACTTTATTTAATTATTATAAATCTAATGTTATGATTAATGTGATCATATTGTTATTCTAGTCATATTTAGATGAGAATGTGTGTAAAAATGGTTTTAGAAAAATGGAAGGTATTTGGGAAATTGTCCATCTTATAAACGATTCAACGAGGAATAGATCGTTCACCGTTGGGCTGCGTCACGCTCCTCGAACGTAACTCGTTCCATCGATCCCTACAATGATGACATGAACAAGTGGCCATATATAGTACGGACTATATATCAATAAAAATTTTCGTTACTCCCTTATCGCATTTTTCTATCTTGTGGTGGGTTGACACAAATATATATTGATTTTTTTCCTTAGTATTGAAACTGTGGAGAAAATAAAGTATGTATGTATATATATATATATATATCATATTGCAATTTTCGATTATTAATAGCCATCCAACCGAGGAAAATATCAGAGGCAAAAGGGTTATATCTGGGTTTCGCCTAATCTTACAGGTAAATATATATAGAAGAATTAATGTAAAATTGTGATGATAGTAATTAATTAATAATGGAGTAATGACGGCCGGAAGATCCCGACCACCGTGACAAAACTACGAGCGATCCAGATTTGACCCTGTCAGAACAAATTTCGAAAGTGGGGGGGTTTTCCATGGGCTCCTGTGCTCGCCGCGTGGCTTTTATTCCCCGACAAAGGATAAATACATCTATATCTTGCCTATATTTAGATGGAGATATTTAGGAGAATAATGCCACGTTCGTTAAATGAAATTAATAAGAAAATGAACAAAAAAAGAAAACACTTCCTGTGTTTGCATATATATTCTCGTGTGGCCAAGTGGGCAAAATCTTTAAAGCATATTGGCCGTATAACTCTGGGAAAGGCCAAAAACTTGTACAAACACCAAAATCCCTTTTCATTTCGGAACATATATATAAAAGTTTGACATTAATTAAATTTTATAAAATGTTTCATACACGATTTAATTGAATTACAGCGTCCACTGCCGATGCATGGAAGGAATGACTAGCAACTAATGACATGAAATGAGATGCCCAGGTCTATCAACGGTAGGTTATTATATGTAAGACATGCCACAGGTTTTCAGCTGGGTTACGGTGGAAACAATTAGATAACACGTGGAATATGTAATACATAATACATGGTGGTATGGGGGACCGATTCATTTAAACGGATAAGCTTCTTATCTCGGATTTTTCCACGTCAGCAAAGCGTGACGCACCACCACCGAAATAGGGCATCGCCATGCAACCTTTTTCCTTAATAAAACTATCATTTTTTCCGCAACAACATTAAAGATTATAAACACATTATAAAAGAACTTACGTATACGCACATATTATATGTATGTGTGTAACAGTTTAGAAATATGCAGATTATTGGACGTTTTTTTGGTTACGGTGGAAGTAGATTTACCGTATACGACAACATATACATGATCTTACATGTGACGTGTTTAAAAATAATATATTTAGTGGCTAATTAACACCATTTAATATTTATGTCTGTTGGATCCTCTACGTAACGTGCTAATACGTGATGCATGATTGTGTCTGAAAGTGGGCTTTGTCATCTTTTGGGGTATTTAGACTTTATTAAACATTTAACTACGCAAATAATTAACAAAAAAAAAACGCATCAAATCTCTCCTTTAGCGATTAAATATAACCTTCCATTTTTTCCCCACTAAAGAAAATAATAAATTGTGAAATAATGTATGATGCTGGGTATGTGATGCTGCTGCCAGCCACAGACCGAAAGCGATAGAGCTCGTTTTTTTTAATAATTATAAAACAACTGTATTAATATTAAATTTTTCGTGTTAACTCTTGGTAATTAATATCTGTAACCTCCGTTTCTGTTAAATACAATATATTTTTTAAAAAGTGAGAAAATAGGGGTCACCATCAGACAAATTATAGGGGTTGGCATTTTTATTGAACAGAAATGTATATCTCAAAGAACTTGGCCTTTTTCTAAAAGAAACATTATAATATATGTGTATCCAATATTTGTCAATATATTGCGGTTTTAAAATCCATCAAATTATCCGCCGGATTAAAATAAGGGCGAAAAATCCAAACTTCCACCAAACCCACTATAAATAAGAGCTGATCAAAGCATTTGTTCAGCACACCTAAGCCTCTCTCTCATCTATTCAAAGAACCCTAACCAGTGAGTGACGTTTCTTCTTCACCAAGTCACCGTTCAATCTTCACAGCAAGAAAAAGATCGAGCTTCGTCTTCTATTCTCGATCGACATGGACAAGATAAGAGACTTGGCGGGAAAGAAAGCGGCGGGGATCTTCACGAAGAGCTCGTGTTGCATGTGCCACAGCATCAAGACGCTCTTCTACGAGCTCGGAGCGAGCCCAGCGATCCACGAGCTCGACAAGGACCCCGAAGGCCGTGAAATGGAGCGAGCGCTGCGTGCTCTCGGCTCGAACCCGACCGTTCCTGCTGTTTTTGTCGGAGGAAGGTACGTCGGCTCCGCCAAAGACATCATCTCCTTCCACGTCGACGGCTCGCTCAAGCAGATGCTTAAGGACGCCAAGGCCATATGGTTCTAGTATCTATATAATCCGTCTATGTATATATATATATATATGATCGTGACTTATAATTAAGTAATTGCCGCGGGAATCAAGTCATGCTCGTGAGTGATATATATATATATATATGTATACCGGGAAGGAACATAGGTGTATTAAAAGGCTTAGTTTCTTTGGCCGGTTTTATATATAGGTATAAATGTGTGACTTGGCCGACATTGCACGGAAGAAGAAACTGTACCTTTGTAACTCTGTGTAATGGTAGAGCTTTCTTTCAGCGTAAAGCGTATCGTAAACCCTAATTATTGTGATACACGCGTGCCATAATTAACCGTATACGTACGTGTGTAAAACTTCACGACTTGATCGAGGTTTGTGGTGTGGCCATGCTCTAAGTCTTCGGCTGTGACCATAGTGCTGATGTTCCATAAACTGAATTTGAGAAATGAAGGAGAATTTCATTCGAAGATCTTAATTGATCTATAATCAGAAATTGATCTTTGATTAAGAAGATAATTCCAGTGTCAAAAAGACTGATTGAAGTGACAAGGGAACTGGTTATCCATAAGGAATTAACGACCCATATCTATCTATCTATATATATAAATGGTTAAAATTGTATATGATCGATCGAATCATTCGAAAGGCTTCATTCTCAAGTTACTGGGCACGACTGTGCGATATCTCTGATCCACACGCGAGCTTCGGGAGGATATTGGGAGCGGAATCAAAACAAGCGTGAGATCAGAAACGATGGGAGAATCTAGGCAAGTTGATGGGCGCGCGGGGCATACCAAAGGGAATCACACTCACATATGCATGATACATACATATACATGTATGTACACATATACATACTGCTGATTGATATATATCACCGAAAGCTCGAATCTTTTTTTTTTTTTTCTTAGCTATGAAAGATTCAAGCTGGTGTAAGGAGATTTGAAAGAATCCGGCGATTACAAAGTGACAGCCCTTTTAATTTGTTCCAACAGTATCTAGCACTACAACAAATCTGTGGTATTTTTCGTGGGTTGTCTGCACATAAACAGTTTTTGAATACAACCGAGGATTTGAACCGGTTCCATATCCAATATCACGTGGATATCGATCGATAGATTTTAATTGCTGGTTAGTGATTGACTTTTAACCTAATTCGTTTTCAAACCAGTGCCAACTAAATTAAATATCATAGGCTTGGTATCCACTGAAGCTAATATATATATATATATATATATATATATTCCAAAACTTGCTCGGTTATCGACCAAGCCTAACGACAAAAAAAAAACTGATTCTGGTGAAAGTGCAAACCGGAGCACAAATTTTTGTGACGCCATTTTTTTTGTGACGAACTTTTGTGCCGTCGTTGTCTAAGATCTACATAAATATATTTCGTGTATGGGCACATAATCAGAGCAAAACTACCATTGATTCTGCGTGGCGTGGTTACTCTTAATCAACATTTACGTCTAATCGTTGGTTTGAGAGTCCACTTCCTGAACAAGAGGTCGTGGGTTCAACATCCAGGGTATGGAGATTTCCCCTCCGACCACCTTCGGGTGCTTCACATCCCACACGTGTGGTGCCGGTTGTGCGTGTGGGTCGGGATTAGTCTGGGCCCTTTGGGCCTGGGATTACCCGGTTATCAAAAAAAAAAAACATTTACGTCTAATCTGTTAATAAATGCCGTAAAAAGCTGCGGACATGCGGCCCATGCACAGCACGCGTTTCTCGTTCACTCGCTTCACAAGATACGTACCGATCGCTCGAGATCGAGAGATTCCGTGGATGTGATTATTAAGACCCTCGACCGCGAATCGTATGCTTAATTATATGATCGAAGCAATTCCAACATTACAGCTGATTTTAGATTATTGTCATGCAACTTGGACAGTCAAACAGAACATCGCGAAAGCCGTCTTTTTCGCACAAGTCCGCTTTACTTCTCGGGGGACGCATCTTAAATTATTTTATCATATTTTTTCTATATTTATTTATAAAAAAAAATCATAGACTTTTTTCAATGTTCTCGTGTCCAGACGGTAGAGTCGAAAGCTTCCTGCATGTCTCCCCTATAAATGGCCCATCAGACCACAAGCTTTTACGTTCAAACAAGCATAAAAGAAGCTCCGTAACTAAATCAGATTCTCGATCGAGTGTCTGAATCTGGTCTTAGTGTGGAGCCATGGACAAGGTGATGAGAATGTCGTCGGAGAAAGGCGTGGTGATATTCAGCAAGAGCTCGTGTTGCCTTTGCTACGCGGTGCAGATTCTGTTCCGAGACCTGAGGGTTCAGCCGACGATCCACGAGATCGACAATGACCCTGACTGCCGCGAGATCGAGAAGGCCCTCGTCCGCCTCGGCTGCCCCACCGCCGTCCCCGCCGTCTTCGTAAGCGGCAAGCTCGTCGGCTCCACCAACGAAGTCATGTCCCTCCACCTCAGCGGCTCCCTCCTCCCCTTGATCAAGCCCTTTCAGTCTGTCCATAACTAACATCAATCTCTCTTTCTTCTACATATATATGGAGAACAAGAAGCCCTTGTTTAAGTAGCCAGTGAGAGTGATGATTAAGAATAAAACCATTGGAACGTACGTAGCTCATAAATTAAACACCAGAAACCCTAGTCCTTCGACGAGCTCTTGTCTGAAAATGTGTGTCATCGTCATGTGTATTTGTTATTACAGTTATGCGTTTAATATTTCTCTTGCTTGTTCGTGTCTAGCTAATTAGGTACGCCCTAATTAGCTAGATCTCGTGCATGCGCCTAATCAGTACGTACATGTACTGGCGATGTGTTTATCTATTATCTTAATGGACAAATATTTAACATACGTCATTTTGTCTTCAAATTTAATATTTCTATTTTTTTTTATGAGCTCCCAAAGCATTCTCCAAAGCACGTACGGTACATATGATCCATCTGTAAACGAAATTTCAATAAGCCGTGCGTGGAACCATTGGGACAATTACAAAATTTCATCCCATGATGCCATCACTTACGACATAACGTACCACGATCCGTGTTCACTTAAATGCGTACCGTTCAAAATATACATGAAAACGTAAAATAAAACCAGGGTTTTTTTATAACAATGCATGACGTGCAATTCATTAATCATATCGACCCTTTACACGATTAATGTAATATTTACGTGGCAGTTTTCTTAATTTACTGATGGAGAGAAGTATTTATATTTTGGAGTCACAAAATTGAGCGAACGGAATCTGTATATAAGTCAGAGAAAACATAGAGACCAAGTTGATACGTGAGAATAGTGTAGATGGACCGTCGGTCTGGCAGTCAATAAAAGAAGATATCTTTAGCGGTCCTATGTAAATCCTCTACGGAATCTGTTTTCTTCAAGAGGTGTAAGCACTGAATCTATTTTTTTTTTTTTTGGAAAGTTAAAACTTTGAATAATAAATTAGATGAATCTTCGAATAATTGTTATTTCCACAACAATTATTCTGTATAACTTTATATCACGATAACGAAGCATAGAATTCCTCTCTCGTCTATGTCCCTTTCATTTTTCATCGAGTAATGGCTCTCGCACTGTAAAATATCATTTCCTTTTGACTTATATATACATACATATATATATATATACAAGACAACAAATTAAGTTCAGTTGGGAATTACGGAGAGTTCCTTAATTAAACTCCAAACTGCACAAATGAAAACGTTAAAAAAGGTTCAAATAATATAAGTAAGGGAAAGGAGTACAATGTTTCGGATCATATATTGAATATGTAACCAATCATTCTCCGAGTATAATTGATCTAAGAAAGCATATAATTTTTTATAAAATTTTGGACGCCTAACACTCGTTTTAGAATAGTTAATATCGGTTCCAAAAGCATATGTTTTTTTTTCAATAAAAATGAAATAAATTGGACATAGACATGGTGTGGAAAAAGGTGAAAACAAAAGGGAAACCCTTTTTGCGCGAGGTGTGGAACCACTTGCTCACATCTCTCCTACATCTTCGGATGTTGGAGAATCAAAGTGGAAGGGCTATGGACGTGTAAGAACGACATTCACTTGTTGTCGCTGTCGAGAAGGTTCTTCCTCAGGCGCGTGAGCAAATCATCCATACATTACCCTCCACGGACCAAACAAAACCCCCCACAAAATTCATCCATACATTACTCTGATAAACTTCAATATTACAATAGAACCAGAAATGAAATATAACTAAACTGATATTATTTTATATACCTTTTTTCTTTTAGAATACGATGTTATTTTCACTCCAAATTAAGGAGTAAAATCAGTATTTATCAAATTGTATTGTAACCAGAAGATCGACATTAATTTAAAAGATGGTCGATTAAATAGACTATACAATATGCCTGTATAAAAATGAATGATGACACGTGTGATACTCCAATTGGCTGGCTGGCTCTCTCGTATCCGCGGGCACTGGGCAGTCGTCCTCTGCGAATACGCTCTGTTCGTGCTTATCGACCACTCTCGGTGCCCTACGCCTCCGAGTCCTCGAATCAATGGAAGGAGAAGAGGATTCCAACAGTCCGAGGGGCAAAGATTATGGAAAATTCGAATATGGGTAATTTCGCCTTTAGCCCTTACGTACTGTTCTATCTCTCCCTCCGATTCGGCTTTTATCTCTTCGCGATCCTTCTGATTCTAGGTGTGTGGTTTGATGTTTTCTTCTTTGTCTGACTATGGTTTCGTGATTCTGTCCCTGTTTGGTTGATCAGATGCGAACATTATAAGAGACGGTGCGAAATCCGAGCTCCTTGCTGCAACCAGATCTTCCCCTGCCGCCATTGCCACAACGACGCCGCGGTTGGTTCTATTTTCTGGCTCTCCGTGTTTTATCATGGAGCTAAGATTGAGTCTGAGTTTACGCATATACTCGAACTTTGCGGCTATGTTTTCGTTTTCCGTATTTTCTTAGGACATGCTTGCTTCTTGTCTCAGAATTCCTTACCTGATCCGAAAGAACGGCATGAGCTGGTCCGGCAGAATGTGAGGCAGGTTAGACTGGGGTCTCGTTGTGCTTGTGGGTTTTTATGTCTTAGGTAGTTCAAAATATGCTTAGCTTTGTGTGATTGGCTTGTTCAGTACACTGAGTGGGACATATCGTGTTCTTTCAGGTTATTTGTGCAATATGTCACACCGAGCAAGAGGTAGGGTCGTTTCCATGGCTGCTAGACGTGATTATCCATGTTATAGTCTGTCTTGTTTAATCACCATCCTGATAAAACTCTTAGGTTGCTCAAGTCTGTTCCAATTGTGGCGTCAATATGGGGGAATACTTCTGCGGTATTTGCAAATTCTTTGATGACGATGTGAGGAATACTACTTCATCAGGCCATTTCCCTATATATTTTTCTGGAGATGTTTTTCTTTTTATTATTCTTCGGCGTGCCGTGTTGTAGTCTGATTTGTTTACTCTCTGAGTGTTTTGCCGTTGTTATGTGTGCAGACCTCGAAAGGACAGTTTCATTGCGATGATTGCGGAATCTGTAGGTTAGTGAAGAGATCATGAAAACTGTTGTTCAATTGCATGACAATGTTCTCACCTCTAATTTCAAACGACTTGAGCTTTTCTTGTCTTGGGTTTTGATTTGCTTCCAGAGTTGGCGGTCGTGATAACTTCTTTCACTGCCAGAATTGTGGTATGTTCCCTTAACTACTTGCACGTGTTGGTCTCTTTTTGCCTCTCAAGCATTTAAAGCTCGATATTGCACCTTCCAAATACATTGGTAGTGCGTGAGATAGTTGTTCTCATCAACTATACTCAAGAAACAAAAGAATCTTTCAGACAAGTGGCTATTGTGCCGTTAATTTTGGTAAAATAGGATCATTGAATTTGATACATAAAACGGTGAAGGCGTGTGGCAGCAGGGGCTGTCTTGTAGCTAACTGTTGAATTCTAGCCCTCTCTAAATATTTATGCGGTTGCCCTTGTTTTACCTGCTCTTCTGTAATTGTTTATTCTAGTTAAGGCTTCTATGTGAATCACTACTGTTTTATCGGGATTAGGTTGGGAAATGAATGTATTTTTTGTAGTTAATATCAGTGCCTTTTAAACTGCCCGTTTGTTGAAGTTTAGTCATTGACCAGAGCTGTATATCAGTGCAAAATTTCTCTAACTGTGATGTGCTCTTCTGCAAATATGGCAGGGGCTTGCTATTCAATGAGCTTGCATAATACACATTCATGTGTTGAGAACTCCACGAAGAACTACTGTCCTGTTTGTTACGAGGTTTGTCCTCAGACTCCACAAATGTGTCCAAAAGGATTTTTAAACGTTCTGTCATATAGCATATATCTACCTCCCGAATTCAGAGGACTGTGGTGTTGTAACAAATGTTTTCTTAATCTGGCAGTACCTATTTGATTCGGTTAAAGTCGCACATGTTATGAAGTGTGGGCACACTATGCATATGGATTGCTTCAAACAAATGCTCGAGAGACAACAGTAAATCTCAGTGAACTTTCCATTGATTTAAGCTGTTGATTACATTGACGCTAACTAAGCTTTCTCTCTCAGGTACCGATGTCCCATTTGTTCCAAGTCAATGCTGGATATGTCTTCTACATGGCAGATGTTAGATCTGGAGGTAATGCCAAGTTTGGAATTTCTCTGGTTGGTATTCATGGATTTGAGCAAACAGCTTGGGGGTATATTAGTTGCTTCTTATTTGCTAGACATGCGCCCGATTTGCAATTTGAAAAGTAAGATTCATGAATTGCACCCAGCTAGGATCTATGGCAACTCCTTAAACACAATTATATTCAACCTGTGTTATTTCCCTGCTTTATCTGGTCACTTCTGCCCCTCTCCTCCATCTGTTTGTGGACGACTTTGAAACTCTGAGCAAAAACATTAATGATGCATTTTCTCTACAGATAAGCACCACACAGATGCCTGGTGACTACAGATTTGAGGTAAGCTCCATAACCCAACATTTTACTTACGGCACCCAGAAAAAAAAAAAGATCATGACTTTTTAGCCGGTCTGTTTGGTATTTTCCATCTTTAAGCTTCTCTGACAAAACACTACCCGAATAGGATTGGTAACTCTCTCTTTTAAGTTTTGATAAAAAAAAGTTCTGGGGAAAAGAGATTTGCTAACTTCTCTGTAAAAGAGAATTGATGGGAAAACAGAATCGATACAAGGCTCATGTGATCATGCAGGTTCCGATCCTGTGTAACGACTGCAATCAAAGGAGCAGAGTGATGTTCCACATTTTAGGACACAAATGTGAACATTGTGGGTCGTATAACACCCGCAGGATCTCAACCCCACAAGACAACACCGTACCCCCACCACCACCGTAGTGGAATCTATAACTGACACTGTTTTGCTGAACCCGGCAATGCTGTTTTATTGGTTGCTGGCAGAAACCATGTGTTTTTGTAATGCATGTTCTCCTTGGGGCAACGAATCTATATTATGATGATAAAACCATGGGTTTGATTATGCAATAATCAGACCTCCTCCGATATTTTTTTCCTAAACAAATGATGTCACAGTGAAAGTGGATCTGTCTGCTTGTTTTCCTGGCCTATAGAATAACGTTCCCTATAGATCTCCTGTTGACTGCGGATGATTGGTCAACTTTTCAACCACTTCCGCTTCTATGGCTCTGTCTGTGATCTCAAAATCTGGGATACACTGGAAGAATCTGCACTGTGATCTCCAAATGGGCCTTAAAAATAATGTCTTTCAGGGGACTATACTTGCCCCGGCATACATGGATGGAGGCAACTGCTTCTGTGTGATGTCAGAAATTTGGATTTGGGAGAAGGATGATGTTTGGGTTTTAATCTACTAACCCAGCACAGACACATTCGGACCCTCTCACAACAACTACGTTCCCCACTTACACGAGCCTCTCTCCCTCTGTGTACATATATATATATATATACCTTCGCGGCTGGCCTACAAGTGAATTGTGGGAGCTGGTAAACGCAGTGCCATTAACGCACGCAATTAGACTGCCACTTTTTTTTTTTTTTTTTTCCAAAGTTCATTTCCTCAGTTTTACTTGGGAAGAAAATTCATATTGAACCCTTAAACATCAGCAAACTCTTTTAACTTGAAAAAAAAACGTCTCATAAAGTACAGGTAGGGACATCATAGAAGAAGAAGAAAAGAAAGACGATCTCTCTTATTTATAACCCCATGAGCCGTGGTGGCAATAAAATTAACAACGACCGAAGCTCACTTTGCTCTGTCTTTTGCATGGTGGGCTCCTCGGAACCTTCTTAATCTGAGCAGCACACGCAAATGTATTTGAGATGTCACTCAACTGCGTAGCACGTGAAACATGTACCTGAATTATGTTGCATCCAGTCAATGGCATGGCAAACAACTCCCTTCGTTACAACTTTGGGTTTTCCACCTTGTTTTCATGTCACAATCTGCCGGGAAAACCTCATGCTAGAGTCCTCGTCCATGTTCCACACAAACCCAGGCATGTCAAACCGAGGGCCTGCCACCGTTCTGTATATATACACCCTCTCCACCGGGCAGCTGTCAGGTCTAGAGTCGGGTGGACCCCTTTCGTCAATGACTTCCACATTGAGCCTCGGCATCTTCAGGCCTAGCAGTTTACACGCCCCAAAACTCACGGAACAAGATGACATCCAAAGGGATCGCATTGTCTCCAGCTTAGGAGCGTTGGCTAAAAGCACCTTGTCCCCAAAGGGGCAGTCCCTTATCTCTAATTTTCTCAGGCTGTCGCACCCCGATAGAACATGATGCAGCCCAAGGTCACTATCTCCCGCAAAGGCCACTGACAGCATCTCCAACTTCTTGGCGTATGTCCCAATGTATTCAAACACCTTGTCAGTCAGAAGACCCGAGAGCGAGAGACGCCTTAGTTCCTTGCAGTGCTCAGCTATTGCTCCAAAACCCACGTCAAGTGGCTGCAGAGTCATGTAGTCTGGAGTTTTTGGCTCAATGATGCATAAACGGAAACGAGTCAAGTTGGGCCGGTTCCTGGCTATAGTGATTAAAGCAGCATTTGTCATTTGATGGCAGAAATAGAGAACTGATTCGAGTTTTGGACAGCCTTCGGAAACACAGACAAGCCCTTGTTCTGTCAATGACACATTTGGTTCCATGACAAACGGCTCCGATGGAAACACTCTCAATTCCTGTAGGTCCTTGCAGCTGGATGCTAGGGCCTCAAGACCAGCATCTTCAATGTAATCCAATACCTGCAAATACGTAATTGAACAATTTAGGAGCAGTAATTATGAAACTCGAAGCACTTTTTTAAAATGGAATACATGTTTCACAAATTGACTACACTGCAAATATCATGCAGCTACATATGCGTCAAGAGGTAAAAACCATAAACATATCATCAGAAGAAGTTCAGCTACACTCAAACCCAAGGTTGTACACAATGACAGTAAACTCACCCAAAGGCGCTGTAATTTCGGACATTGACTGAGAAGCTTGACAAGATCAGAGCTCTGAACAGTCGCGTAACTCAGGTTCAATGTCGTAAGTCTACTGCAAGCAGAATACATTGCTGGGAGATACGCAGGGTCAACATCCCAAAACCCAGACAAGCTCTTCAGCCCTTTACAACCAGCGAAAGCACCAGATAAACTTGAAAAAACATCAGGCCGCACTTCAGCCGTGTAAGCGCCAGTGCCCAGCTCAATCAATTGCGGTGCTCTCTGAAGTAAGGTCGCAAGTCTTTCAAGAGGGACGGACCGGTTGAGGCGGAGAGACATCAGGTTGGGACACCTACTCACCAGACGCTCCAAAGCAGAAAAGCTTACCTCAGATGATAAGCATGAGATGTTAAGGGACACCAATGATGTGTACGAATCTGGGAAATGACTGAGCCAATGGCCACTAACATCTTCCACATCACTCTCCCGCAAATCAAGCTCTCTCAGATTTCTGCACGTAGAGTGTAGTGTCATCTACCAAGCAAGAGTTTAACAAGCATCAGATTAACAATACCTTCTAGACCGTAAAGCGTAATGCATTCCGAAAGCAAATTTCAGAAAAAAAGAAAGGAAGTGTAATAATAATATCACTTGCTAGTGTACCCTGTTAATTATAAGGGAAAAAAGATTAACAGGAGAACGTGATAACTACATAAAGCCAAACTAGACGGGCTCGAGCTAAGTAAAGCTCGAGTAACATCTACAGCAGAGGAATCAGACTTGACAAGTTTTCTTTCCGACAAAAGTAGCTTTGGCAGAATAAAGCAACACAAAGTACCATCCAGAACCAAAGAAAGTAAAGGATTCAGAAAATGGATCTACGATATCCAAGAAGCTATCTTACAAAAATCTGAGAACCCCACATGCCATTCGCTCACAACAAAGCAACAAGTAAAGAGGGAGGGGAGAGAGAAAAAGAGCAAACGCCCAAAATTGACTAGATTTTCCACCTCAGGGGATTCATAGAACGAATGCCGCGGGAATCAAGGGAAATGTAATCCAAAACAGACAAAACAGCTAAAACAAGAATCTTGGTGAATCACAACTTCAATTTCTAGAGGTCGGAAAATGTTGACCGACGAATCAACAAAAAAAACCCTCGCAACACTATCAACAGAATCATTAGATCCCAGCTAGAACCCGCTAAATATCATATGGAAGTATTGCCCGTATCCGAAAATTAAAGATGATCATACACACGTACCCCAGAAATTGTAGATATTGGATTTTTGACAAGAAGTTCACACACATCTAAAACAAAATAGGTTCAGTAAGTAGTTATGAAAACGCATCCGGTAACTGGGATGCTCTCAAGATTACTTAAACACCTAGAGAATTTGAACGAGAAGAATCATAACCCAAAATTTAACCAAGATAAAATAGTAGAACACATCTAAGTAAACAGCATAACCCTGCATATGTCTCCTAATGCAAAGCAGCAGAAACTAAGGAATCTTCTCGTTTCCTTTCTCGTCATTTTCTCATCCACCAAACGCATTACATATAAGAAAAAGAAGAAGAAGAAGAAGAAGAAGAAGAAGAAGAAAATAGAAGACCTGCAATTGGAAGCGATGGCGGCGAGACCATCGGTGGAGAACCCCTCGCAGGAAGAAAGCACGAGAACCTTGAAGTTCTTAAAGGACTTAGCGATGTGCTCCAGGCACTCGTCAGTGACCACCATCCTTTTCAGCCTTATCTCCTCGAGCCACATGTACGCCGTCGACATCGCATCAATCCAAGGGTGTACGTACGCTCCCCAGCCGTCAGGCACCAGATTAAAGTCGGCGAAGTGTGGTTTTCCCTTCAGCTCCACGGATCTCACCTCCGGAAACCGTCGGATCACCGTCGCGGGTCCGACGGCATAACAGTTCCCGACAAAGACCTTCCTGCGGCACCATCGTTCGATCTCGTACCACGACTTGCAGACAAGAGACACCGAGTTCCGGTCCTTGTCGGTCTGTATGAACGAGAAGACGTGCTCCAGCACCTCTTCAGGAAACGACAAGGCCAACCTCTTCTGCATTGTGGAAAACACCTCAAGATCTAGACGATCCGGCTGATGAAAGAGACAAGAGTGGAAGGAAGTTTGAGAGAGTGATTTCTAAGATAAGTTTAATCAAGCTCGGGTCTGATACGCCATTAACGTGGAAAACCAGTTGCAGACAGAGAGAAGGTAGAGGAACAGGGAAGAACGATGAAGGAGGACGAGTGAGTGGTGAGGATAGATAGGGAGGTCGTACGAGGGAACTGGGGTTGGGTTAGAATTTAACCATGGTCATACATATCCATGTGAGGCTTTTCGGTGATTGTGATTGACAATTTAGATTTGGACACGTGTCAAGAGAAAGCGAAATACTAACCGTTGGATAAACGGTGAGGGGGGGGGGGGGAGGGATATGATCCGTTGGAGAAAGAAGGGTAGCCGCAGAAGGCGGGGACTAGAATATCGCGAGAAGAGGGAGGTAATGATAGGGTACGGTAGAGAGTAGGAGAAGGGGAATCTAATGATAGGTGCGAGAAGCGATGCACGGCTGGATACTGCGGGGACCACCGCACCGGATTGAGGCGGGAATGATCGGACGGTAAAAATAAGGATATTATAATGACATCACAGCCGTCCAATCATGTTCGGCTGTTGCCATCTGCAAGCTCCTCCATAATTTCTCTGTGTAATGTATTTAGACTTGCATACTATCTTCCCTTTTCTGGTAAATAGCAAAATTACCCATTCTGGATTTTATTACTTTCAATGTTAATCATCATGCATGCACGATAATTGATGCTTCTAAGGTTTTAATTTAGACTTGGTAGTATGATTCTAATATAAATCCTTGGTACGTATATCAAAATATTGAAATGGTATGTGTTGTTATAATAATGGAATGGAAAACAAAAAAAGCAAATCAATGCGGGCTGGCTACTGAAATTTTGAATAAAGTACGAAGAAAGTGCAGCGACGCATCTTAATCACGACGACCGTCAGATCTTGGCTCCTTTTACAGTGTACGGACACAATGGGTTTTAAAAGTTAATCAGAATAAAAAAAACATATTACCGTATCGGAGGGTAAAACCGGAAAGATATAAAATAGCAATAAGTAATAACCGCGGCATTAAGTAGGCCTACGCCTTTATTTACATTTCCTTTTTTTTACCTCGGCTTGTGTCGCACGTACAAGCGTATTTGTTCACAAATGACGAAAATACCCCATGTCTTGGAGGACGGAGCTCGATTCGCTCGACGCAGATGGAGGGCCAAATTGTCATTAGCTCGGATAAAGGACATGGGCTTTCCACTCCTTCAGCATGCCCTCCATAGCTCTGTCGTTTTTAATGTCCGAAAACGAACATATCATTTATTATAATTTTTTAAAAAAAAGTAACCCTTATTAAACAAAAATGAAAATGTATTTTCTAATATATTTTTTTATTTATTATAAACATGGTGTTCTGAGGTTACAAAATAGAGATATGATTCTAAAACGAATTAAATGTTCGTAATTTATAAATGAGTGATTTAAATACTCATTCATAGTATATCAACGATCCCATCCCTACACATTGCTGTTTGAAGATATTAAACTGGCTATTATACCAAAGTAAAAACAAATAAAATAAGGTTTATATTTAAATTATTCTTTTTTCTTAAAAGTAAAAATCACAACGTCGGTATAATACTATAATTTATAAAATTACGTTCTTCTGGAACACTGATAAAATTATTTTTTGGCGTAAATAAATGCTCGGAAATTTAGGTAATAACGAAGGTGATTATAGAAAGCAAAGGGGGAGTCAGATGGAGAAGTGGGGATATGAGTTGTCCTGCACGTAATTCGTGAAGTGTTTTTAATTAGTCTGTTAACGTTATACGAAAAAGGGTGACTAATTAATTAGATTAATATTTAATTAATTGATTATGGGTTACAGATTAGTTTAATAACCATCTGATTAGTTTAATACATGGGGAGTTCAAGGGTACATGATTAGATTAATAAGCCCACGCATGGCTCCCCGCGAATCTCTCTACGTCCTCTCCTCGGGCTCCGCTTTGAGACTAGCTTGCATTTTGCTGTATTATCTTCCTAATTACCCTTTTTTTTATTATACAATAATAAGTTCACATTGAAGGGAAAAAAACAAAAATAGTTTCTATTTTCTCATGTATGGTCTGTATCATGATTATCATGAAGATGATCATCATCATATATGATATGAAAGATGTATGGTCGCACGTGGTGGAGAGCAGGGTTGGATTGTGTTGGCGATGATGAACTTGCCCATGAGTGGAAGCCACCCCCCCCCCTTTTCATTGCAAAGGAGAAAAAAAAATCACTTTAATTTTTTTTTTGTCATGTCATGGTTATATTATATGATTTGTCAAGTGGGTGACCAATAATCATTTCTGCTTTTCCATTCGCATTCGTGTCCATTCCAAACACGATTTTGTTACCAATCCATATTTATTTTCATTTATTTCTTTTGGCAATAATAGACACGTCACGCCATAATGTACGTATATGATAACCCCATTCACTCACTCATGCATGATTTAATCAATCATATATATATGTATATTGCAATTTTGCAAACTATGTCGTTTTGATGAGACGTTCACTGTGTAGATTTTACATGCGGGATATAGTCAACACCCGAAAATTATCGTACGGCTTCTTTTGAATGGATATATTTACACATACACACACACCAGTTGAATTTCGTATATTTGGAGAGAGAAATCTATATATAAACAATAATTTAGGACATAATTAATATTTGGTACAATCCACGGGTGTGGAAATAAAGGAGGGAAAAGGTAAAAAACCGACGGGTAAAAAGGGTAAAAAAAAGGCCCAATGGGCCACAGAGAAGTAGGCTGGAATAAGGTAGCAGGGGGCTTAAAGACGCCTACTGCCGTTCCTACCCTGTCCAATCACCTTTTTTTCCTCGTTATTTCATTTTTATTCCTCAATTTGTTTCACTTAAAATAATATTAAATTATTTTTGCTAACAATAAATGCAGTATATATATAAATTCAATCATTTTCCCCTCTACGTACCGTCTTATCATCAGAATTTTACTATGTTTATTCTATAAAACATTATTTTTTTTTTATATTCTATTACATTACATTACAATTTGACTTCACCACACATTTTAATATTTAATTGTTCAATCTTAAATATTTCCATAAAATTATATTACTTTTTGAATTTATTTTTTCCTATTATTTTATTTATTTATTTGTATATTATATAATTTAAATAAAATTTGATTGATATATCTATATATATAGTGAACTCTATCTGTGCAATAATTCTTTTTACTAATCTCGTTTTATCATAATAATAATTTGTTTACTTTTTCCGAAAAGGCGAAAAAATGTCATTGATGATTAGTGTTATATCTCAATCTGCTTTCTTCCTTCTCTACTCCAAACCAAGGCGTTGACGGGGGTATTCTCGTCATTATAAAAGATCTTCTTATCCAATCATTGAGCGACACGTGTCGATCCGAGACCCAACCCACGCCTTTTTAAGTTACTATGACTTTCTTCCACCGTTGAAGATGAATGAGATTGCAGAGACAAGATAAGGCTATTTACTTATGAATTATAATAAAACGATTCTAATTTATGGAATCGAGATTCCAATATACAAATTATAATCTATATGAATTTTTATAAAAAATTATAAAAGAAATTACGAAATATTCGTATGTATCGGAAAAAATAATGTTATTATTAATGTATTTTTTTTATTGATTTCTTTTTGTATATATCTACGTTACTAAGGGTTGGGAGAGGATTATTTAATTTGGAGTTGGGTGCTATTACAATTATATGTAAAAAATAAACAGACGAAACCGGCGTTTTGCAAACGCTAGAAGAGTGACTTGCGATTTGGATATGCGCGTGTGTGTATGTATAGAGAGGCCTGTCTATTCATGTGCGTGTGCTTTAATGCATGTATGTATGTGTACAGACTTTTTTCTTAAAAAGGGTGTGGGCCTGAAGGGTCCGAGAAAGACCACAATACATATATGATATATATACACATCTCGATCAAAGTGGGACCGTTTCAATCTCATTTAAATTAATGGACCGTTCATTTTATGTGGCCGCCTATATATTGTTTATTTATTTTTCAAGAAAAACACACCTGTATTCGTCTTTCAAAGCCCAAACCACATTTGAGGCCCAAATCAATGTCAGAGGAACTTCCGTGGGCTTCCTCGAAAGATCCAAGGAACTGCAGAAGCCCTAGGCATCTGCTCCATCTCTTCGTCGTTTTTCTCGCCGCTAAGTTTCTCAGTCCATCTTCGATAACAGTACAGTCGTTCTCGCTATTTGTACGAAAGTTACACGTCTTCATTTCCTCGGTCGGAGGAGGATGAACCTGAATTCTCTGTATTTTTTTTCCCTGAAAAAATGGAGATCGTTTGAAATTTGATGTTTTGCCGATGAATGACAAAACCCTGAAGGCAATGAGCCTGCGGCAACAACTTATGCGCTCCGCATTGAGCCGTCGAGGTTCTACGCGGGTTGTCGCGGGCTATGAGTAATGTGCCAATATGCTAATCTGAGGCAAAACAAAAAAAAAAAAAACTTTTTTTTGTCACTGTTTGATTTATTGTGGATTATGTAGATAATAAGTTGGAAAATTAATGTCTGGTTTGTTCTTTGTTGTGGACGCCGTAATGAATAGGTAATCACCATGTGGGTTTGAACATTTGGTAAAAAATGGAAGAAGGGTAGTTGCAGCTTTCGTGTTTGAACAACTGTTGGTTTGGTTTCGTGTTGAGATTAAGCCCTTAAACTCCTATATTAAGAACTCTCTTGTAACGTGCCCTCACAGTGTGCTCAAATTAGAAGATTCCTGAGAATTGGCTCTGTTGAATGATTGCAAGTCCTTTAGCATCTTTAGTGTAGGATTTTGAGCATCCAAGATGGGGCCAGGAGGACCAGGACCAGGACCAGGACCGGGCTGGGGTCCAGGACCGGGGGGTTGGCCTGGTCCTGGTGGTTTCTTTGCTGGGTTTGCAGACGTGATCTGTTCCTGGTAAGACATTCTAATACTTGTGTTCCTAGGTTGTGTACATAGTTCGTGTTTGTTGATATCAGACTGGACATTTCCTTTCGAATTCCCAGTTTATCTTGCATGTGCTGTTGCTGGCTGCTACGAGATTGCTTCGGCGGGGATGGAAACCATTGTGATGTGATCGCTGACCACATCTGTATGTTTGGTGGGTGGCTGTAATCAAGAATAACAAGAATGTCATTTGCATTTGCATCTACTGTCTTATTTTCCTTTCAAGGACGCACCAAATGCCGCTGTTCATGTGCGACAACTGTTGCCTAGAAAATCATTGCAATTCCTGATTTGTTTTTGGTTAAAACGTTATCACGTCAAAATATCGGAATTTTCCATGTAGTTTCCACCAAATTCTTGATTCATCGGGTCAATGCCAAGTAATGTGATATCCACAACCACAACTGATCCATAGGCAGCAGTGAAGTAGAAAGTTCCAAAGACGCACACGTATCTTAAAATCGGATCTTGTCTGAAGCCAGAACATGGAAAAGTTTGAACTTCCACCAGAAACACAGGAGCTGAACTTATCAGAAGACATGAGGAAGGGCCTTCAGAACGGTAAATACAAATTAAAATTCAGAACAGTTGAAAGAGAAGAAACAAAAACAAGGGAAGCTACGAGACAAACAGCAAACACATCTCCTCAAACTCTCTTTCATGATGGAAGCAAGTGGTCTTCAAATGGAATCTGGGAGCACAGACAAGAACAGTCACTATGTACAAACACCTCTAAAAGCTACAATCTTCTCTTTCATACCTTTCTCCCCAGGCCATTCCCTGACACGGTTATTTCCGGTGAATCAACATAAAGCTACAATCTTAGTTACGAATCTTGCATGGGAATAAGAAATGTAGCGAGATTCTGGGTCTGACAGTTCTTACCCGACAGTCATATGAGTCGGGCCATTCACTCGCAAGCTATCTTGGTGTCAAAGCTGCTAAGGCAAATGGCGAATGCCTGGAATGCAGAGATCGGGTACTGGTAATCCATTGTGAACACGTCTTTGCCAACTTTCCCAAACTGGAGAATCACATTCTCGTGCTCGGGTCTGGCTGGGCCATTCTCTGGAGTGGCCACTAGCTGAAAGTTTTTTATGGAAGCAACGGTAACTCGCCCATTGAAGTTGAGGCACCAGCACTGGAGCTGTTCGTGCCACCTTGGCGCTTTGTTCTTCAAAATCAACACTCCTTCCCTTTGTGCGGGTGAAGGGCCAGAAGGCAAACTATCCGAACGAGTAGATTTTGATCTGAAGAAGGGAAATGACGGAAAATTGTCCACATTGCCGTGGAGAAGTTCGGTCTGAGTTGGAGCTGTTCCTCCAGGTTCCATGGCAGATGCTGGGATGCTGTCCATTGTGCATTGCATCCTCCTCGGCCCTCTGATCCCACAGAACAACAATTACAATTGAAGTCATAACCAAAGCAGCGTTTTTTGGGAATCAGAAGTATTAGACGTGTAACAGATCATCACCTGGAACCCAAGACGTTCAGCTCATATGAGACATGGGCTACCTGATGGCTGCCAGTGGGGATTTTAGGGCTCACTTGTTTTGAATTGAGAAGCCTGCTCGAGCGGCTTCTTGTCACTCGAGCTCTATGGTTAGTGGGCTGAGCGTCGTAGACAGTGAACTTGGTTCCGAGAAAGTTAGATCTGGAAGAATAGTAGGTGGAAGTATTAAGGTTAATACATGAGTTTACAGAGATGAGATACTTATTACTGTCTGTACCTCAGCTTTCCTATATATGCACCGTTTCCCTTCGATACATCACCATAATGTAATGAGATGGTGTAATCTGTGCAAGTTGGCCTCCAAAACCTCTTCGCAGCGAGAAGGAACTTCCCATCATCGTTCGAAGCTGCTGATCCATAAAAAAAAAAAAAACTCTTTGATGTGAGTTCCCCATGGAAGTTCAGTTTGCAAGGTAACAGAGACTGAATATATGAAAAGAGCGAATTATTTTCTACACAATAAAGTTTAAGGATGAACGGCGTGCTAGATTTTCAACAGGGCAAAGATTTTAATCATCTGTAACATGCTTCATGGGAAAACACACAAGGTATGTGAGTAACACCGAGAAAAAACGAATAACATCTATTATTTACCGTCATTTAACCCGAGGTATAGATAGTAAGTTTGGCTACCACGGTTTCTCTTTATATAGCATTGAACAAGTGATCCCCTTGGTCCCGGCTGCAAAAATATGACAAGGAATCGTGTCCATTAGCCAATACCAATTGCTTAAAAGAGAACTACTTGCTATAAACAGTTTAACAGTCTGACTTTTAACGATAAACATTCTATAAACAGATAATAGGATCCTCAACCTGCTTCAGGGAGATTGGGAACGTCAACTTGCCCGAAACTTCAGGAACTTTAACAATCTCCTTCACAACTTCTCGCCAGTTTATACAAACACCAGCGCAGGCAACGACATTCTTTCTAGAAGGCCAACTTTCTTCAGTTTCCTCTATCCTCATCAAGACATCCCTCAGAAGCTCCGGCGGCATATTCGCCCAACAGCTCTGCTTAAAAGCATCAACTTGAACCGAACTATCCTGAACCACGCGATGCGACCTTGACCTCGTCCCATACCCGAACCTGACGTCGAACCCTCTCCTAGAAATACTCCCCAACTCTTCTCTCATGTCCTGAATAAGACTCTTGAACGGCATGGCTCAACCTATAAGCGGCTCTTAACTAACGTATACGTACAGAGAGCACTGAGATTTTCCCGTGGCTCATCTAATTCAAAGTCTCTCACTTTTCCAAGACCCCATCAAACACACGTTCCGATTAAACGAAATCACATAGTTGCCAAAGAGAATCGTCGAGTTTCCTAAACACAGCGCACGAGCCAACGAGCCAAAAGATCTGTTTCCGACACGTATCATCCACCACAATTCCTCGAAGAAAGCTTCTTACTTTTCAGATCAAGAGTAGTAACAAGGTACCAGCAGAGATCCGCCACGACAAGTTTCGATAAACCGAGACCTGACAGCCCAAAATAAACGATTAACACCTGAAACTCATACCGTTTATGGAAAGATTAAAACCCATTAATTTCCTAGGACCTAAAGTCATCCTAGTTCCACACCCATGGCTTTCGGAAAGCAAAACGAGACACTGCACGGAATAATGGACATTGAAGCCTATAACACGCGAAAGCTTAGGGTTTTGAAGCTATGGAAGCATTGAGAGAGAGAGAGAAGAAGAATAGTAGAGATGCAGGAGAGAAATTTAGGGTTTGGTGCCCTCTCTGAGAGGAGAAAAGGCGATGCGAGGCAGAGAGAGTACGTGTGTTATCCAAGCGTTTTGTCCCTCCCTGTCTGGCGCTGCTGCTGCTAGGTTCATTTTAATATTAATATAACTCATTTTTTTTAAAAAATGTCTTAGCCAAATTTGGCAATGCACACAAATGTACATGGACCTAGATGTATATGCATCTCACAAAGATGGATATATAATGAAATGAATTAAAATAAAATGTGCTATGTTAGTTATAGGGATTTCTTTCTCTATCTTTATTTTTATGAAGTATAATATTTTTTCAGGGATGATGCGATTAAGTTAACAAAGTATTTAAAAATAAAAGATGTAGGAATTTTGCTTCCTTAAAAACTGGAATGAAACAATATTATTCGATATTAGATTATAGAATCTTAGGGTGAATAAGTAAAATCACGAGGAGTTATCCGTTATGATTACATAAATAGAGATGGGATAATAATCAATAATCAAGGCAACGGCGAGGAAAAGAACAAAGAAGATAAAAAGGAAGGGGACGCATGCGAAAAGGAGCAAGACTCGCAATCCGCCATGGATGGTGCTGCGGTTTTAAAACCTCTGCTCCCTTCTCTCCGTCCCTCCCCAAAACACGTTCCTCTGTTCCCCTTGACGGGCCCCGGTTCGTCGCTGCGGTTAGCGAGGAGGAAGGAGAAAAGGCAAGACTTTGCCCTCTCAGTTGCCTTCAATCCTTCTGGAAATTTCAATCTCTCCCCTTTCGACTACGAGGACGGTACGGTCTACTCTCTGTTAGATTGTTTTCACATGGGCTTTTGGTAGTTTATTCAACTGTGGAAAAACAGATTCGAACAGAGTCGCGCCTCCGATGCCTCCGGTAGAAGGCCGGTTCGAAGTCATCATCGATAACAATTCCGTTCAAAGGCTCGACTTGTCCCCGTTTCAGACGGCCACTGGCATTACCTTGCCTTCTTCAGGTAACAACAACATCCCAGTCCGATCTGAGTCAAGAGAGAGATTTTACATGTGCGAATCTACATATGGTGCAGCTAAACCCAAGGAGTTTCTGGAGCGAACAATCGGATTTACGATAAATTACGAGAGAGGGGAGGCAGAGGATCCGCGTGAGCTGTCGGAATTCCCAGAGATAAGGCTGTGGTTCGTGAGGCTTGATGCTCTCTATCCGTGGCTGCCGGTTTTGCTTGACTGGCGTGCCGGTGAACTTGCTCGTTACGCCGCCATGTTAGTCCCTCACCAGGTACCATTATCATCATCGTGACAAAGCCTCCGCCTTTTATTTGTTGTGGATAGCGTGCTGTAACTGTGTGTGGATGTGTCAGATGAGCCTGAGAATGGGTGTCGTTTTTAACCCGGAGGCGTTGGAGTTGTTCGTCATGAAGAAAGTGTTCGTCGTTTATTCGTGGCTGAAACAACATGATGTCCCGAAGCCGAGGTTGAAGACGGGCGACATGGCCAGGATGCTCGGCTTTGGGGTCGGAGATGAACTCTTCGACCTCATTGATCAAGACCCTCCCGATGCTTATTGACTCCTACTTTCCTTTGCATTTTACATACACTTGTATGGACTTCCACATTTAGATGCATAAAAGGAGCGGACTTTATGTGCGTGTGAAAAGATTCCAACTTTAACATGCCAGCAAATACGACGACGCTTTGAAAATAATTTCTACGGCCGTTTGAAAATGTATTTGACTAAACTTGGGGACACGTGGCAAAGCCTCACTGGTCGAGCTGCAGTATTAGCGGCACTGGCAAAATTTAAATTCGAAAAAGTTTTCAAAAAGGCTCCGTCTGTATTGCCAGTTACGATTTTAGACTCCGTAGATCCAAAGGTTCAATCTTTCGCCTCGCCTCTACAAGTAGGTTTCGCTCTTTCTCTGTGTTCTCCCGAGTGTAAACATGGACGACGAAGTATTGTTTCTTACCAATCTACGTATTTGTTTCCTGTGGAATATTGCTGGAAAGTTTCCTCCTTTATTTCTTGGTTTTGCAGTCTTCTATGGTTGGATGGCGTTCTTGTTTCCCTTTTTGTTTAGGACAGAATTCTGATGTAATGTGTTGTTGAATGTGATGGTAAGAAGAGGAAGGATGATGACTGAGGAAGCGACATCGAGATGGTGGTGGTTCGACGGTCATAAAAGCTCAAGCCACTCTCCGTGGCTCCACTCCACTCTCTCTGGTATCATCTCTCCTAATCTCTGTTCCTCGTCTCTGTCTTTTTCTCCGTCTTATGTGTTCTCGTCCACGCAACTTTCATGAACTGGCTTCATGTCAACTTTGTTCTTATCTGTAACATGCTTTTTTGTATGATCAAACGATGAGATCCAGTCTCAGCAATAAGTGTCCCTTTCTCAGTTCTTGGCTTTCGGGCAAATCTTCAGTCATTTGTTACGGATTGGGTGACAGATTCTTGTCTGAAATGCAGAACTGGATGCAAAGACAAAGGCAATGCTGAGACTAATCGAGGGAGATGCAGATTCTTTTGCCCAACGTGCGGAAACATACTACAAGAAACGTCCAGAGCTCATCAGCATGGTCGAAGACTTTTATCGTGCCCACCGCTCGTTAGCAGAGCGATATGATCACATGAAATCCGAGCATGGAACTCGTTCTGCCAAACTCTTACAAGAAGCCGTGGAATCCGTTTGTGACAGCCAGTCTCAAACCAACTCTGAGTCTGAAGGATATGCAGAATCTGAAATCGAAGATCCAGAGAACGAATTTGGAGTCAGCCCGTGTAAAGAATCGGAAGACGAGGAGGATCTTAAGGAAGATGAGACATCAAAGCTGGTTCAAGAGAGAGAGGGTCTGAGGGAAGAACTGAAACAGAAGGACGAAGAGAAGAGAGAGGTGATAAGGCAGCTGGCCATTGCCATGGAGATGCTAAAGGAAGAGAATAGGAGGCTGAGGAAGCGTCTGGTCGAAGAAGAGTCTCTGAAGAAAAAGAGCGCGTTTGAGTTCAAACAGTTTATGGGGAAGTTGTTTCACGTCGTCAGGTGCGATGGCAAGAAGAATGTTATGTAGCGACCAGAACACGGCCTACCTGTCCGTCCATCTCTTGAGCTCAGATTCTCTTTGGCTCTTATCCGGTAATGATGAACTGCTTATGTCTTTTCTTGGATTAGACTTTTTCGCTGTATTATAAGCCCCAAGTTAATGTATTGTTATATATGAGGATGCTGCATTTGCAGCTTCTCTCTCCATCTCCGTTGTGACAACATATACCAAAACGGACATAAACTAAGAAAGAAACCAAAGGCAAAAGATTTATCAGGCCAATGTAACTTCATTTCCATCAATATCATCTTGAGACATATAACAGGTCACTCTCATCAAGATTCTTACAATGGATTTCCCAGAACACTCTCCCCCGGCCTGAGACACAGCCGAACAGACCTCAATCCTTTACGGGGTTATTGTTGAGTGAATGAATCAAATCAAATCTGCAGAACGGGGAAGAAGTTGAAGCATTCGCCAAACATTCTGGGAAGCTGAATCAGCTTTTTCCATGGCTTCCGCATGCCCTAGTGTATAATTTATCTGACAATCCTCTCCTACCTGAGAGAATTTACGCCCAAAGGAGTCCGTCAAATCCAATTTCCAGATTTGAGACAGGGCTATCTCCAGAATCTTGGTCCCGAGCCTGGCTGCCATCAACAAAATCGACATAAGGCTCAGACAGATCAGAGGATCTTTCTGATGGAATCCCGTAATCTCTAAGAATACACGAGGATGCTGCATTTGCAGCTTCTCTCTCCAGCACAGCAATGTAATTGTCTTCGAACTCGAAAACAAGATACTTGTCCTTGCACGTGTCAACGAGGTGCGCCAAATGATGGATGTTTCTTATAGGAATTCCATTGAATTTCAGAACCTGCTGGTTGTTCATGTCTTCATAGCCAATGTTTACTTCATTCGCCAAGACCTACACCCATGCTTGATCAGTGAGTAAACAGGTGAACGCCTTTATTTCAGAAGAAGACTTACAAAACAAGGGCTTGCTGAGTAGGTAGCAAACCTAAGTACTACAAGTCTTTCTAGCTTAAGCTAGTTTTAGTTGAGCGCAGGATAAACTGTGTTCAAAGGATACACAAGAACACAATTAATTGGTAAAAGGATTGATCTCTGGGACAAAATATCTGCAGCTCTCTAACTTGGTTGAAAACCAAAATACTGGCAGTCTTTTTAGCATGTATGATCAAGAAAGAGTATGCAGAAGGGATTTAATTAAAAGTTCAGGCTTGCCTGTGATAGGATGACGATTTGCTCTCCTCTAAACTTTGCCAAGGAATACCGTGCCTTCGTCAACAGTTTCAACTGAGAATTTGGATGCATAGAAACTTGTCATAAGAAAATTACTGCCCCATAGTGGAATGAATATCAAGGAAACAGAAGGTTTTGTAGAGTGAGCTCACCCCTATGGAATCCTCACACTCCTCTCTGTCGATGAAAAGAGAAGAGAAAAAAGAGTTAGCGCGTAGTGAAAAAAAGATGCAAGATTCTGTTTCCTTTTGCATTTTAGAGGCAGAGGAGAACATACTCTATCAAGGGTTCTGAGAGTGGAGTAAACACCAACCCGGCGATTATAATGTATGATGGCTGACCTCCATCAATGTGATATGGAACCTTTTTCAGAAGCATTGCATACAGTGAAGTAATTCGTTTAAAAGTCTTAAACAAAAATTGGGCAAACAGCCGAACTCAGGATCAAAATGCAAAGCAGATGAGGATCATGAAGCATAATGCGAAGAGAAATGACGATGTGCCTATTTGCCAAGTCTAGTATTTTGCAACATAAAAAGCAGTGAAGCTTAAAGTGATTGGACACAGGCGTCTACCAGATGCACACGTGGGTTCAGAACTACTTTAGCTTTCATGCGTTCTCCGGCTCGGATGACACCGAGCTCTATTACATCACCTGCAAATCTGTTTTCAGTAAACTGTAAGCCATAGACGAGGAAAGCCGAGGATTTTGCTGCATAATTGGTCAAGGAAACAGGTCTTTACTTTTGACTGATGAGATATCTGAATGCAATGCGTTCGTTTGTTCGGAAAGGTACAGTTCCTTCACACCCCACATGAACATCATCAAAGCTTACTATCACATCACCCTGAAACAACCCAATTAACGCTGATCAGGTATACCAACAGAAATCTGGGCTGAGAAACCTGGATGAAACCAGGAAAGCACCAGAGATTGTGATTGTAGATATTTACAACAACAATCCCCTGATCTATTTCCCGTACCTCCTTCAGGAGATTATTTGCATCAGATGTAGGTTCAACTCTTCTCACCAGCACACCCTACAAAATTAAGGCTTCATTACTCTGGTCTGACCAACAATAAGGAAATTCCTTAAATATAATGGATAAAAGAGTGAAAAAAAGGATGGAGATTTATCAGCCTATTGTCCCCTACTTTTTTTTAATGTATATGAAAAGGGACAACAGTGGGACAACCTTCTATCTAACAGAAGACAATCGACCTAAAGCCAAACATGCACACCTCATTTGAAGGAACTTTTAAGCATTCCCGAAGAACTGGATTTTCCAACTTCTGTAGCAATACACCTAGACACGGGAAACCTGCCAAGGGAGCACTGTTAAAAAATAATACAGCCGAACTGGTGATAAGGCTCAACTAATCGATAATGACTTTGCAACTAGAGCATGAGGCATAACATAGATCAAAGACAAATGACAAGGTCATGTCTTGGAACTTGATTTACTTGATATGTAATCCTAGAGCATAATCATCTTCACTGTAATTTGTTGTGGGAATATCAGAGTTGTAAGTGTCTGGTGCTGAATCACAACAAGACTGCTTAATTCATGTGTTTGTTCACAAGGAATAAGATATAGACTTGCAGATCGAAATTTCATAGATATGACATAGAAAGTAACTTCAGTCACACAAAGATTTTAAGAGCATCAAAAGAAAATTCTTACCAGTATACTTTCCATTTTTCTCATAGTCTGTCAAAAAGTGAGAAACGACTGTGGTTGGTATCACGTACCCAATGTTTTCAGCTTCTTCAGATCTGTAAACCTAGAAGATGACTTTGGTGAGGATGGAGAGAAAGAAACAGAGATAGAAGCCCAAGGGCAACAAACTTTCATAGCTAAAAAATCACCTGAAGTGCCTTCTGACATTAATGAAAAGAACACAGATCACATAGAAACATTATTTCATAACTGGGGGTATCACCTTTGTGTAATTTCGAAAGGAAAAGGCATTCATGGACCGAAAAGTTATATGCAAATGAGCAGAATAGAAGATAACAATTTACACAGCATGCCAGGAACACGCGTGAAACCAAAATCCAAGGTCAAGTTGCCTCCAGAAAGTTACAAAGTGTGTACCTGAAAGGCTACTCCAATACACTCCCCTTGGTCGTTGAACGCAGGGCCACCACTATTACCTAAAATCTAACACGTATAAGAAGTGGCAATCACAATAATACGGAAGAGTATTCTCAGAAAATATTTTAGTGGAAAGCACACAACAAACTAACAAGCTAGATAGAAGTTTTAGAATTAGATGCAACATAAAGGGGCAAAGAAAAACGATTTATCATTCAAAGTTGAAAGGATCTTATGACCTGGATTTATTGCAGCATCAATTTGTATACCGAGTAAATCAGATGATCCGTGAGCATATGATGTTACCTGTTTACCTCGAAAAAATAGGGTTTCAGTGAGCAGAAGACTAAAGATTTACACAAGAGACCAGTGGCATGAAAATGCAGCGAAGTTCTGGAGGAAACCTCTATACGTGATACAACCCCCTTTGTCACAGATATAGTATCTCCTCCAAGTGGATATCCCACAACTGTTACTGCATCCTACAAATTTAGTCCAATAGGGAGATCTTATGTACAAAAGATATGCCTAGAAAGATAATAGATTGCAAAGTTTAGAAGAAAACAAATCTTAAGGTTATTTGTTCATCATTGAAGTTTAAATTTTGAACAAAAAGAAATGTTGTGTAACATTTCCCCTGGTCGTCACTCTGACAAGACCTCTTAAACACTTTATCCCTAGAAAGATGAGCATTTCATCAAAAAGAGACATCAATCATCCTGTTGATTATATTATAAATTAACTAATAACTACTTGGTTCTCTTATGATGTATTTATTATTCATAACTCCCACCTAATAGTCAGATATTCATTTCAAAATTTAAAAGGCAGAAACCTGAAGGCGGGGCAGATGGCCAAGTCGGAGAGGTTCAGCTCCTTTCCAGAATTCCTCATTTTCTACCGAAAGCAGAGCTATATCACAATCGACACCTCTAGCTAAAACCTGTACATTATAAAGCGAGCAGAAATTTAGGCGCTAAGTGCTGATGATATACAAAGTATGTAAGTTCTGGATACGGGCTTCTCAATAAATTAAACAAGTTCCGAAGGCACTCAATAAAAATTTGAAGAGCATCATGTAACCAATTCATTTACATTCTCTAGATACAAGCGTTGCTTAACATATTTATGCACATGCTGTCATGCTCATGATTCAGAGCAGAAGATGACACCCACATACAGAAGAATCTGCAAGTTCAGATACAAAACTTCACCTTAGCCACATATTTTCTATCATCTCCCCTTCTCTTCACTTTCACCTGAGCAGAAGTCAGGTCGAAGCAATCAAAATAGGAGACTGAAAAAAGTCAGGCAATTGGTAAAAAAACATAGGACGAAAGTAATTGCGTCAAACCTGTGTATCGTGTTCCACACAATGGGCGTTTGTCAAGAGCTTCCCATCTCCTATCATAAAAGCACTGCAATGGTACAACACATAAATTACCTAGAACAAAAACCATTTTTAAACGGGCATAAATTGCCAAATACAATAATGTCTTTAAAAGCTTGCCTCCCAGTGCTGGTATACTGTCTTTGCTTCTGCCATGGTAGGGAGTAATCAGGCGCTGTGTGAGTGCAATAAACCTAACCAAAACAAAACAACAACCATTACAAAGGCTTCCTAACTAGACAAGTAGTTTAAAGGCTACTTCCAAAACATGCAATATCTCCACTAAGACAAGCAATAAACAGCAATTTGGCACCAGGAAAAAAAAACTTTCATAGGTGAAGAAGTTTTACCTTAACAACAGCATCGAGAAAGGACGCATCTTGAATCTTCCCAGAATCAACCTAAAATGACATTGATATTGACGGGATACTCTTTTAAGTCACGGAAACAGGGCAAGTAGAAACAAGAAAACCGGTTGCAGAGGCATTACATCTCAATTACAGAGCAAAAAGTACGTGTACGTCACTTTGTACATCCCCCGAAAACCAAAGCTTTCAAATTGATACTTCCAAGACAAAACGTAAAACATAGTATACCTGTTGCTCTCTAAGATCAGGCTGAAACTCCTTTTTCTCCTTTCTTTGCGTCCCAAACGCCTTAAAGGCCGTTGATTGAGAACGACCCCCATCTCTTCTACCGCTAATTCCATCTGTAGATATTTCATTTTTTGTTCTTCCTTGGAACTTCTTTTGAGATGTGAGATCATTCTGGGGAGTAGTCGATAACCAAAATTCAATCAGACGAAGCCACTCGACGACAGATTCTAATATGAAAGGAAAATACCCAAATGAGGGGTTGAAAAGGGTTTGGTTATGTACCTGGGGATTGAATTTAGCTGGAGAAGGGGATGAATCGGACCCGAGAGCCCGCCTCTTCTGATATGAAGCTCGGGGAGTCACCGAGGTCAGCGACCTTTGCGAGGCGGCGACGAAACACCGGGGAGAAGCGGAGGAAGATTGGAGTTTGACGGAGGCATTGAGAACGGAGAAGCAGCAGCTTGCGACGGCGAAGCCCATATCTATCCAGCGGAACCGCCGGCGACACTAAGAGAAGGTGAACAAGAGAGCTCCCCTCTTATCCTCTTTTAGCTTTCGTAAATCCAACAAAAGCAAAATACGAAAATTTGAAAAAAAATAAATAAAAAATATCCCATTAGGTCAAACTCACAGATTTTGGCGCTGCTCTCACCCACCCCATGGACCAATAGCATCCATCCTTTTGATGTTAATTGCCTCGAACAAGAAAAACTGAAACTTTGCTTTTAACATTTTGTGCATATACGTTCAACCTTTGATTTAGAAAAGGGCATAATCATGCATGGAAACAGATGTACAAGTAAATTAACAAATCCTAGAGTTTGAACTTTGATTGATGGGCTGCAGTGATTGAATGGTTAAGCGCAAACATCGGATTAAAGCTTATTATTTTTAGGAAAAAAAGTAAGAACATGCAGAGGAAACAGCACTGCTTCTCTGGTTTTTACCCATCATCATCATGATGAAGACGAGCAACCTTCAAAATCAAATTTTCAATAATGTTTTACAGCATCGTACAAACCACAAAATAGATACGACTCAATCAATGAACTGTAGAATCTGTAGTGGGGGCCTGACTATTTGGTTTTACGTTTTCAAAGCCTCCGCTTGCAGGAGCGGCTTGATTGGGACGGTAGATAGCTGCTGTGGTCATTGGAGAAGGGGCTCCATTGGGGGGTGCTTGACTTGAGGAGCCGAGCTTCAATGGACAGTCAATGGTGCAACCGCTGCTGGAGGAGAAGGTGCCACCGTTGGAGCCATTCCCAGAGCTGCCACATAACCTGCTGACAAAAGTAACGACCGTCAGCTTTTACAACCACACATGCTTACACAAATACAACAATTTACAGGAATTGCAACAATGATCAACAAGACCGTGAATCAGATGCATGATATGAGATTCGACCATTGGAATGGAGTCTAAGAAAGAAACCGAGGCATAGGTCTTGGCTGAAATGAAGTTTATCTGTTACCTGGAGCACCAGGGACAAGTGGTTGAGGCAAAATAGGGGGTCTAATACCCAGCGGTGGGTTAATAGAAGTAGGAGCTTGAGGGCTTGATTGAAGTAGGCAGAATGGGAAGGCGAGGTCTAGCTATAAGTTGCCGGTTATAAATGGCACGGACCTGCTGAAAGGCTGCAGCTTGGCCAAGATGTTCCTTGATTCTCTGGTCAATCAAGCTCTGGGTCTGCTGCTCCTCGAATTGCTGATAATAGTTTCTCACATTTGACTGTGTTGGTCGGATGCAAGGATTGCAGTTAAAATGGAAATGAGGCGTGAATAAAAAACCTAAAATTTCACAGTTTGGATACATAACATAAGAATACATGAAGTACCTTGTGTTTATAACCTGTATTATGTTGCTTCCTCACCGATGGCTGGACACGGAAGATGTTCGAATGATATAACCATGACTAAGCGAATCGTCAATGGATAAAAGAAAGGTAATTGGGGTATTTCTGAATCAAGCAACCCTACAATGTCCAATACCAGAAATCGCAGATCTTCGGAGGAAAAGATCTTCCCCAATAGAATGACATACTAAGGGGATACGAGGTGACATCAACAACAAATACAGGATGAGAAATACCCACAAATCAAATCGAGATGTATGTCACAATCAAACAACTTCATTCCAAGCACGATCTGAATGCAGTTGGAAAAAGAAGAAGAATCAAGTCCAATTTCTGATTAGTCTCGTCGGACAATATATCATCCGTTTCAACTAAAAGTCGAATTCAGGTCATAACAACTTACAGAATCGTGGGTGAGATAGGTTTCGCAATAATCGCAGTAGTACCTGCAAATTCAAAATATCATGTAATTAGCACCAAAATTTCTGATCCTGAAATATAAACTCGGGAATCCATCATAGAAGGACAGAAGGAAACCTACCGAGGCATATCTCAAGAAAATTAACCGGATTGAATCGCTAGTACCGAAGATACGGAAAACCCTAGAATTCAATTCGACCTTCCTACAGCGAAAGGAACTTGAAAGTGGGTGAACTGAGAAGAAGGGTCTAGAATCTTGAATACCTGGTAAACGACGCCGTTTGAACGGAGATCGTAATATCTGCAACGGTGAAAGTCACAAACAAAACAGATAAAAAGGAAAACAAATATCCGACGGCTATAACAAGTTGAACGTTTAGAGGATCTAACGGATGACAATGAATGATGGAATATCGTGCAAAACGATCCAAAATTTATTAAAATAGTCCAATAGGACCTCAAGTTTTTGTGAACACCAAAAATATCCTAAATTTTGTTCTTGTTTTAATAATTGACAGAGGCTTAATCTAGAGATTAGCAATGTTCTTATTCTATAAGTACCAAGCGTAAACCACGGTTTACGTCTCTATAATTATGCATGGCTCAATTTCAATGTGTTGGTTATATTTAATTTATACTTATCAAAACTAAGCGAAATATGAGTTGGAATGATTGCGTTAAGATCAGCAAGTGCTAACCCTTGGTATGATTATGGCGAAAATATAAAATAATCATTTAATTACAAATTTTTGTTTTGTTTTGTTTTGATCTCTGATTTGCCCATTCCTCTTTGTCATGATGGAAAATCTAGAAACGGGAATGACGTCCTCTGCAGCAGACGGACTCTGACCATTTTTTCAGACAGCACATGTTTTGCATGTATGATTTGAAATGATGTTCGGTCTTCTAGAAGAAGGCCCGGGGGGTGGGGGGGGGGGAACCAGATAGAACCCAACTTTGGCAATGCTTTTGTATTTATTATATATTTCTTTTTATTTAAGGATTTGTACATATTGTCATTATGATATAGATTCCTTCTAGAAGTCCAACCCCACATGCTTGTGTCATCATTTCCATTGTCACCGTCTCTTTGTCTTCTCGGGTTGAGATATGGTACATCAATGGCCAACTCATAAAAGAAGGACAAAATAGAGGAACATCTCTCTGCCACGTCAAATATTTTTTTTGGGGTTTCGTCAAAAGATACATATAATATCATAATTCCGCTGTAATCTCTTTCTGTGCATGTATATATAACGGGCACTATGTTTTTCCTTTTTCAGTTTCTGAATATTTCCCCGGAAAAAGATAAACATGAACTATAACGTGGTGGATGTATCTCGCTTCTTGCTCTTCGAAGCAACAGCAGATTCCGAGAACGGTCTCGGCTTACCAAACGTTCACGACGACGACGACGACGACGAAGACAATGGCTATGACGAGGGTGATGCCGAGTCTTGCAGAGTTGGTCCGCAAGAGACGTCCTGCCGGACGATTATTCAGATGAGCGGGTCGGATCTTGACCCGGAAACGATGGACGGAGAAGAAGATGAGGAAGAAGGAGAAGTTAATAGTTACGGGAAGTGGGCGAGGAGAGAGAATCGGAATTTGGTCGTTGGTTTGTCGTCGACGGGCAAAGACAGGGTGAGTGAGAAGGAGAGGAGTCAAATGTTCTGGGAAGCCTGTTTGGCTTCTTGATCTTGTTCTTGCCCTCTCGAGCTTTAAATGTTTTTTTTTGTAAAGCCCCGTTATTAAAGTATGGGTTAATCATCGAATAGATCGATCTCTTTCATTGGTTTAGCATTTAATAACGTTGTTTGTTACTGCAATCAAAATGTATCCATGTGGAAGGCTTCGCAGGAA